CTCTTCATCTCAGTTTCTGGTCTTCCTTATAGAAATAAAGTAGACCACAAGCCATATGAGCATTCACCCACATGGTAGCGTGCTTTACGGCGCAAGCCCATTGTAAAATCCTGCTCAAAGCTGCTAAAGTCGCGGTGATCAACCGAGATCGGACAGTGCTCCTCAAGACTTACGGCGCAACTCGCTGCGGTGAAGGCATCGATAAGCGTGGCGTTACAGGAATGGGACGGATCATTCACCGTTGAGTGCGGCGGAGCCCTGAAGAGGTCTCAGAACGACCGCCCTACCAACACGTTTGAACCGCCCGAAACCCCGCGTCTTCTTTGCTTGCTTGTTCAACTTCATGTCCGCGTTCTTGGCAAATAGTCGAGTGTACCCCTGTGGAAGTACGGGAGGTGAGCCGAAATGGTCATTGGACAGTCACAGGTTGATATATGTTAGAATATCCGTCAGAACGAGGCGCGTTAGGTCCCGTGAACGATCAACTATAGTCCTGCAACGTGGATTAGTGGGCAACTGCCGGGACGTAGGGAAGCACACGACAGCACCCACGCCTCATAACATAGTCTCCGCTTCAACTTCAACCCCAAAAGGCGTGATCCCACCAATCGCCTCTTACCCGCACTGGCTCCGTAAACCTTCCGCCCACATTTGGGACCTTGTTCCGCTTCAACACCCACACTTCACGGACGCCAACGCGCAGCAAGTAGTCACGCAGTCGTCGATAGTTTAACCCTACCGCGTGAGGGCCATGGCTGTCGTCCGATAAAGTAAAGCGGCCTCCGTGCTCCAAGATGAGCTAGGAGATGAAGATAGATTTGATCAATGACATCGACGTCGGAGGAGTAAGTACTTACTGCTAAGACGTCTTCAGCCGGGTATGCCGTATGCCATCCCTTCCTCAAGGCCGCCGCATTCACCTCGAACAGCGCCCCGTAGCCAACCGCGTATTTGACGTTCCGCTCGACCTTTGCCCAAGCTTGCGGGAAATCGCGGAGACGCAACGTCGGCGTGTACAACCGGCACAGATCAATGTGTCCGACGATTTCGGGGTGAAAATGGTTCAGTAGCTCATACTGGGCATCGAAATACATCTCCAGAAACGTGCTTTGACGGTGCTGAGCGATTGCGTCCCCGTGGATGCAGTCTTGTGAGTTGCTGGAGATCGGAGCACTAGACAGGCAGCGCTGAAACGTCTCAAAGTCGAAGTCGATTGGGATACCGGCCACATGATGGACGGAGCCGACGAGGTAGTCTACGCGATCTGCGTAGCGGCTGAGAAGCTCGGAGAGGCCATCGAAGTCGAGATTCGTTATGTATTCCGTCTCAAGACCGAGAAGGATGCTCAAGTGGCTGGAGTAAATGTCGCGAAGGCGCTCCGCTTCGATAAGAAACCTGTCGAATTGTGCTGCGAGGCATGCTACGGAGAGCCCCGCCTGGACGGCAGACTCAGCGGACAAGAAAGTCACCGAATGCGGTGCTTACCTCCTCAGGGTAGAGATCCTCGGTCCTGTAGCGCGGTGCATGCTCACTCAAGCCATACACCTCGAAACCTTGCCGAATGGCCTCTTTCACGACATCCTCCAGAGACCCTGTCGCGTGTTTGCAAAATTCGCCAGAGTGCGAGTGAAGGCTGTATGGCATCGCACAACTAGCGGAGAGAGATGATGATGTGAGCCTTTCCAGAGATCATAACATGCACAACTGAGAGAAGCTAAGATACTCACGAAAGTGTGTTTGTCGTCGTTCAAACTCAAGAACAACGGGTGAGAAACTCGAGTTTGGCTTGCAAGAGCACGTGACCGTACGCGTCTGAATTAGGCGCGCCACACGTTTGTCGTTCCTCTTGTTCTCCTCCCTCACGGTGCTGCGAAGTTTTGTCTTTCAGCATCGGTCACCACAGATGTCGGGCACATGCCAGCCAGTAAGCTGATTAACTGCAGTGAAGAAGAGCCTCTCATCGAGGTTCACAGGAACACGATTGGTTCTCGGACTTACTCTCCGGAGGACTCCTTGTCGGCCTATGCATATCGTACGCGCCTCAGGTGAGCAGCTTTACCTCGAAACGTCGCCATCTGCCTTATTTACATGCCTCCTTTAGCTCTCGCGAATCGTCAACAAAGGGTCGTCGGAGGGATTCAGTCCATGGTTCCTGCTACTTGGCAGCACATCCGCAGCATCGGGCATGCTCAACATGTGCGTCGCGCAACGTTTCGTAGACTGAGACAGTTCTGACTAAAGTGATACATTTCAGCATTATAATGCAGTGGAGTGTCATCCGGTGCTGCCGCGTCTTTGTGAGTCTCCATGGGTCCCTCCATACTGCAGATGGCTGATGGCATTCAAGAGCACGTTGAATTGCCTTGAAGCAGTGGCGGGCGTACTGCAAGTCGTTTTGACCTGGTTTCTCTTCACAAGCATGTATGTCTTATCCTCCCTCCTCGGAGCGCCTCATCTTATGTCTCAACGATAGCCTCGTGCTATACATGATATACTACCCTCAGCACCTGAAATATGCTACCGTACCCGTCGACACATACGATAGTCGGCCATCGGAGTACGTGAAGACCAACATCAAATCTCATGATTGGCAACTCTCCATTACCTTGTCCTGGGTCGTTTTCATTCACATGTTCGTCGACTTTGATATTCCATTTCTAGTCGTCGTGCTGAATGAGACCTACAGTACCCTCGTGACGTTTGTGACATTCCTTCTCATATCTTCTTCTCCAAACCCCTCAAGCGGTGTACGCTCGCCTGAATTGTCCCTCTGGGCGACATTCCTTGGCGTCTCATCTGGCGGTCTCGCCGCGCTACAGTACTTGCCGCAGCTTGTACACACTTACCGCATGAAACTCGTCGGAGCCCTCAGCATTCCCATGATGTTCATTCAGACCCCCGGAGGTTTAATCATGGTGCTTAGCATCGCACTCAAGTCCGTATATTCCCTAATTTGTGGCTTCTCACGTGCTCATCGAGTGTTTCATCGCGACATAGACCCGGCACGAACTGGACAAGTAAGTGTTCTTTCATTGCCGCACTATTCTCGTCTCATATCAATCATCGTCAGCCTGGATTCAATTCCTCGTGGCTGCCATCATGCAAGCCATCCTCCTCGCGATGTGCTTGTCGTGGAAGGTTCGCCAGCGGAAGTTGCATATAGACGATTTTGGACATCCCCTCCCCTCTTCCAATCCTTCGTCGCCGCAGATCACTCGCGGGCCTGATGAGGATGTGCCAGTAGAGGAGGCTGTTGAGGTAGCTGTGGAAGAAGATCTTGTAGTCGACGGAGAGCGCGCTCCACTTCTTGCTGGAAAGAAAGACTCGGCGCAGAAAGGGATTTTGGCGAAATGGGGTTGGACAAAGTAGCTCTATCGGGATCGGTGAGGGCTGCCGGGCGCGCGAAGAGCTCGCCTTTTGGGCGTATACATTATATATCACGCACTTTCTAATCATAGGAATCTCCAGCGATGCTGAGCGCTGAACGCCCATGTCAATTCATGCCGTTCCTTAGGGTTGCATATGACTTCCGGGAGCGCGATGAATGAAGCCTCGCATAGTACGTGTGCATGGCAGACAGACACAGTGCGCGGGTCTCCGACTTGACTGTACACTGCCAATACAAGAGGCATGCTAGAGTTCCGGTGGAACGTTGCAAGACTCGCTGCGGCGAGATGGAAGTGGAGAGGCACTGCAAGCCGAGCGCTGAGGGCCACGCGTCCGACTACAACTCATTTCCGCGCAAGATCTATATCATTGGCCACGAGCGTTGCGGTGAATGCGGCCTCGAGATGTCCTGCAGGGAGCTCACCATCTCGTCCGGTAGCGGTTCTCTGAGGCGACCATCGATTCATCGAAAATCAGTGGTTCAGATCAATGAGGCAGGGTCGTAGAAACGATCGAGTGGGATTACCTAGGTTCTACCCTCATTCGGCGTACTACACCATCGCCTGGGTATCTCGGGTCTTGAAGCAGGGAGAGCATGAGCCATCGTTGACAGTAGCTCATGATGACGTTCCGGTCGTCACACATGCTGAGAACAGTGCGTAAGATCGACAGTGATGACCGGCAACGTGTTTGTTGGATGTAAAGCTTACCGTTCCGATGGCGCGGGTGACCTCAGAACAGGGCACAGGGGGCTTGGTAGCCTTGGGGGCGCTGTGCCCGTTGACGTTGTGGGCTGCGGAGGCAGTCAACTTGCGGCATGAGCGTATCCACACCTGCACACCCTCCAGGCGCGTTATTCAAGGCTTCGACGCTCCGAGTCAATGCCGTTCAGGTGTTGAGCGATGTCAGGGTCGTTTGTATACTGCTATACGCTGGTTAAACATCCCACCGAGGTTCATGAGCCAGACGCTGGTGCCAGCTTGCGGTTCCATCAGACAGGAGTGTACGCGAAAATGGCCAGGGAAGTGTGTGCGATCGAGAAGAAATTGGATTTGGATGAACCTGGACGAGCGCGGAATGTGCGCCTGGAGGAAGCAGGATGCGGCGGGGTCGGGAAAACGGTAGAGTAAGACATACAGGGTCTTCTGGAGAGTACGGGAGGGCCGCCAAGTCACAAGAGGGGAGCATCCTTCGCTCGCAATAGAGAATAGTGAGGTTCATGAACAGTGTCCCCGAAAGCATTGGCGGAAGGCAGGAGGAACCGTACAGTAGTCCCAGGGACGCCGACTGGAAAGCCCGAGAGTCCGAGTCGCGGCAAGGAAGTATGCGCCGGCGGCAAAAACACCGTTCCAAACGTATCCGAATCCCGCTCCGATGGCGAGCGCAAGTCAGCTCCTCAGATAGTCACAGCGTAGCTCGCGCTCGCAACTTCACCGGAATTCCTCTGCGAAACTCAGACGACTTTCTTATTGAAGCCTGGTGGAAGATAACGAGCACTGCGCCCCTCCCAGCTCATCTCCATAATATTATGTCTTTCCCCTGCATCCTCAAGGATATCGGACGTCTGTCCTGACGCACCCGACCTCGAATCCGATGTTCAGCAAAGAAAAAGCGGGCCCAACTGGGGTTCGAACCCAGGATCCCTTGCAATCACGTAACCGGGGTCCGAACCTCGGTTTGGCCCAAAGCAAGTATCTTACCACTAGACCATTGGGCCAGCGATAACGCCCGACATTTAATGGATGTGACCTACGTACGGATGGTACCTGCTTACCGACGGCGAGTTTCCCTCTGCATATCATTGTCAAGGCACGGAGACATTTTAAAAATAATTCCCGCTACCTTCAGGTAGTGGGTCTTGAGTTGTAGTGCACTCACGGCGCAGTTAATTGGCTGCCGATTGAAGATCTGGCAAAAGCTGTGCATGTTTCGGCATCCCCCGATTATCCTAAATTATTGTTCTCCGCTCCAGCCTTGACTTGGGATTCGACCTCTGCAGTAAGGCACTCTCGCTCTGCTGCACGCTACTCGTCTCGATGTCTTCGTCACCAGGCTTTACGTAGCCTAAAACGCCCGTTCTGATTGCCAATTGGGCACCGAGCTCGTCGCATCTGCCTGGAACTTCGGGCATGGCTTTCGAGCTCGTACACACTGTGACCCCCTCACCGCACTGTTATACTGCGCGGGTATGGGGAGCGCCTGCAGGACGCGGTCTTCGCGACGTCGTACTGGTGAGGTCGTTACTTCATCCATCTCTGCTTAACCAAGGCGAGCATTCAGATCTGCAGAATGCATTGTATTACATGTGCATAACTGAAGGCCCTGCCCACTCGGCCTCCGTATGCGCCATTCGTCGGTGCGTCCCCACTCTCGCAGTGACGCCTCTCTTCGGTTCCGATTATTACGCTCAGGTTCGGATGCTGGCAGCATAAGTGCATTGCAACCACTGCGGAACGTGTATTCTCCTATTGTCATCCTCCATCTATCTGTCGTTGGTTTTGTTTCTGATCTTACAGGACATTGTGTAGAACGTGTGCGAGACGTCGCTGCTCATTGAGACTCCCTTCGACTGACCCGTCTACGGTAAATTCGTGGTCTCGAAGAAGCGCACGCACACGTTGCAGAAGGCTCTCGGGGTATATTTGTCTGCACATGAGTCTTTGTTGTAAATATAGTCCTGAGCGGATGTACTGCCTCCGAGATGTTCATACGATCACCGGTCTCGTTCGCTGCAGACCGACACATGCTCGTGGTTGGTGTTCGTGACGTCTCCAGGCCCCCGAGCTCTGCCGTGGCCCTATCGACTAATTACCGGCACAACATCACGCCGTTTTGCAGATGATGACGAGTAAACCGTATCCACACGCTAATGCACACGTACGGTGATTAAGCTTGGCACGTCTGGTAATATGCTCGATATTTTCCTAAAAGTCGGAGAAAGAGAAAATGTGAGTTCTAGTCACGACCGTATTCATCACTTCGCATAATTGCAAGTTCTCTGTTCTAACGTGTCGAGGGGAATGCTCACAGATCTATTTGAGAGCAGCCTGAGCCGCGTCTTTGTCGCCTCTCTGCACCTCGAGCAGAGAGTCATGTCGTTTAATACGAAGTCCTGGAAAGGGAGTAGACAGCCGGCGTGTGGTTTCATTGTGGATCTCTTGGCCTAGAGATTCATGGCGCTCCCTTCATCACGCGTCGCGCATGTCATGTCATCGTCGTGGTTATAACTTCCTTCGCAGTACGGCTGGACTACGCGTTTACTTCATTTCATGCCTAGGTCTCGCCGCTTACACAGGATGCTGATGAAGACGACACAAGTGAGCAACGACAAGCACTAGTCATACAGTATTTGCACGTACAATCTGAACGCGATTACACAGCTAACTACGTTTCGCCTATCACAGGTCAATTACCCGAACGCCGTCCTTGTCGACTACCTTGACTGTGTACTTCCCAGGGGAGACCACCAAACGTTTTGCGGTCTCGTCAATCGCGCGACGTAGAGCGTCTAGACCCTCCTCGAGCGTCCCGTCGGGGTTATGATACCTAGAGTGACGGGTCAACGCCCATTCAAGATGTACTCGACGTCAAGTAAAACTCACCGATCGAGCAAACTGGACGCAAAGTAACTACCATATCCGTGCGCCGCAAAGGGCACGGTGGCCATCGTACCGAGGTAGTCGATCCAGTACAGGTGCGGCGTTTTGTCTGCAGTGTCAAAGCCACCGACAAGGAGGTTCACTGTGTAGCTCTGCCGAGAGCGCAGTGACTCTGCAAGGGCGCGACGGATCCACGATGCAGCGGACTGGGGGCGGAGTGGGTAGAGGTTGCGAATGTGGTAGAGTCGGATGTTACGTTCGATATATTCGGCGAACTGCACGGTGTCACCTGAGGATTTTCATAACATAGGTGAGAGTCTTGGTCAAAGGTTCGAACGACAGTTCGCGCACCAGGCTCGCCAGAATACGCCATAAGGAGGTGGGGGCTGAGAGTCTTTATCTTGTCCTCGTCTACCTTCATCTTGATGATAGAGCGCGCAGATGTGGTATCTGCCGCGACGAGAACGTAGTCCTTCCCAGTCAAAGCGAATGAACACTCCATGTCGTCTGTTTGGAAGCTAGAGTAGAGCAAGGAGATGGCAATGGGGGGGAGAAAGCAGCGACGCGCGGCCGCGCATGGCGGTAGATGTGCACGTGACATGGACGCGTATGCTGTACGTAAGCGACGGCGATGGTGAGAGTCGAGCTCGCCGTCGCCGACGACGACGATGAAGCCATGGACAAATTCAAGGCGCTTGAGCCAGTAAGACTCTACCAGCAGGGCTCAAGGACGACAAACCGCCTCTCGACCGCCTCCACCTCCCCGCTCATCGGCAGGCTACCCTCGTCGCTGCACCTCCTCATCCTCCAGCACCTCCCCATCCCCGACCTTCCCGCTTATGCGCGCTCATGTCGTGCATTATCCCGCCTTGCAGCCTCAGAAACGCTATGGAAACATCACTACGATCTTCTGTGCATTGAGAAGTACGAATTTGGACCGGTCCTTGATGAACTCGAGAGCAGAGCGCGCACTGCGGCAGGGAACGTGCCTCCGACGTTAACGGTGGACGTCGCGGACGACGATTTTGGCGACTTTGCTTCTGGGAATGATCCATTTAACTTTGGCCTCTCACCGTCATCGTCGTTTCCGACAGCGCCCGACGAACTTGGTAGCTTCATCGGAGGCAGTACTGCGACTCCGCAACCCAGCGCACCCGCCTCTCCGCGCGCCCTCTACATTCGTGCCCATAAACTTCTCAAATCTCTAACGCCGGCGCTCCTCACTCCTCCGCACCAGGTTCTATCATCCCTCTTTCCCGCTTCAGCAGCGCCTGCGCTTGGTCTTCTGCACCGCTCAAAGACTCTACACCTCCTCCACCGCTTTCTTGCGCGCCTGTCCCCGCTGCGTGATGCTTCGTCACTCCTCACTGCTCTCAGGTCTACAACAGACCGTTTCGACGCCGCCCTACTCAGCGCTTTCGATGTAGCGGACGGGCGCGGGGATGAGGACGGCATGCGCGAAGCAGCCGCGGCAAGTTGGGAGATATGGGATCCCCACAATGTGAGTTTTGGTGTCAGTGCGGAGTGGGAGATGGGTCGGGTGTGGGGGGAGAAACGCGAGATCTTCTATGTGACGAGTGCCCACAAACCGTTGGATAACTTTACGTGCGTTTCCATCGTCTCTTCATATTCCTCCTTGTATCCGAATTCTCCCTTTCATTTTTTTTTTTTCAATTCGCTGCCTTAGGGGCGATAGTGAATGCTTCCACTTTTTGTCCACAATTTCACTGCGGCGTACTTACCGTTTCTTCAGTGAAGGGGGGGCCCTCAACTTTGAGCCCATGGACACCTTCATGAATTTCGTCCTGGACGCTCTGCGAGAGCACGGGTCGCGGGCCGTCCGGGTCTTCCCGCCCGCAGCCGGTGTGCTCATCGCCTTCGCAGACCGCATCGCCCTCGAAGTCGTGGGTACCTTCCCCTTCCACAATTCTGCCGCGCATGTATCGACCGAGGTCCGCAGGTATCGGAGTACATCACACCTCTTTTAACACACGCGCGCTCGCTCGCAAATGGCGCTCTCTTTCTCAAGGCGACTGCCGCTTGCTTCCGGGAAGCATGGCGTATGGTTGACAGCATCCTTGACGTCGCGGGGACAAAGGCAGAGGTCAGCAGGACACAGGCAGAAGACGTAGTGTGCGTCTACCTTCCCCACCCACTCTACCCCCGATACAATGAAGGCTCTAACTCTCTTCTACGCTCCTCTGTTCTTCGCGATGTCGTTGGGTTGTAGGTACCGCATGTTCGAGCCGAATATGGACGAGTATCTGGACGAGGAAATTGACTCTCTCAAACAGTCCTTCGAGCTCATATGTCGTGACTGGGAGAAGCAGGTCGGTACCCACCGCCGCTCCTCCCCTCCACGCTAACTCCTTACTTCTGCACAGATGCACACCACCATACCGGCCTCCGCCGACCCCTCCCCCCTCCTTCCCTCGCATCAGCCCACTTTCGTTACTTCTCAATCCCCTGCCCTCCTTAAGCGTACTGTTCTTTCTAACTTCACAAACCTCCTCTTGCTACCCGTGTCCATCGTCCCGCGTACTGTGGAGACCGTCTCGGGCGCCGCCGTTCATGGACTCTCGATGCTCGACCCGCGGAAGTGGGGCGCAACTAACGCCACTGCGTCGGAAGGATACCACAAAGGGAATGGTGCCGTACTCTGGGAAGACACCGATGCCGCCGACAATGATGCCGACGAGTATGCGGATAAGTACGACGAAAAAGGTACCTACGTGGGGAAAAGCTCCGAAACACCTTCGTCGTCGCTCGCACCGACATCCGAACGTCGTCAAACCTACGACAATCTACAACTATTGCTGTCCCTTGACATCACTCTGGAGATTATTCACGCTGCCCGCGAGTCTCTCAAACGTGTCGAGATCTTCGTCGGGTATCCTGGCACATACGGCTTGCGCGTGCGGGAGACCATCGAGGAAGTGGCAGGAGAGATGCTCGGCGTGCTCGGAGAGCGCCATGTCAAAGGAGGATTTGAGCTGTGCGTAGAGGCTACTTTTCCTGCTTCTGGTAGTACTGACGGCTCACCTACAGCGCAATTGCACAGATGCGGACGTACCAACCGCCAGCTGCTGTCCCAGACTCGGACAAGCCAGCTGTAACA